CTACGGTTGAGTGTTTCAATGTAAGGAATTTCTTCAATCAATTTTTGTTCACCTTTAACATCATCTTGCTCTTTGGGTGTGTTATCATCCATTGATATGGTTGGCAATACAAAAGGAGAATCTCGTGGATGATTTGATCTAACATCTAGGGCAATAACTTGTCCTAAACTACTAACACCCTTATCTGTTCTGCCACATTTAGAAAAATTACAATTGGTAGGATCTGATATCATTCTTGAGCGCAAGAGAGCAGAGTGCAAGTGTCCTTCAATGGTTGGAAAATTTTGTTCATCAATATTCGCTGCAAATCCATGATAATTCCAGCCAAAATATACTACTTTGAGTGCAATATGCCTCTTTGAATATTTTGACATATCAAATGGCCGAGGACTTTTTTTGTTAGGTTTTTTAAGAGTTGTGTTGTCACATGATATAGAAGTTACCGTGGTTTTGGTTGTTGAAATAGAATCGCGTTGAATTTGTTGTCCAGTCTCATAATTTAGTATTTTTGCAATTAATTCTTCTTTACTCCAGTTAGCATACTTTTCAGCACCAATTGAATGAGACATACGAATCTGAATTCGATAATTTGAAAAATTTTGAAGGCTACTGCGAAACATCCCTCATTCGGTAAATTAAAATAAATGACTGTAATACAATGATTTGTATTGTCACATGATTATTAGAATATTCTATAAGTTCTGAAATTTAATATTGTATGCACTGTATTTCGGATAATACTCTCCTACGATGTCACTTCGTCCGAAGAGAATTGTGTTTGACAGAACTTTTCCTGAATTCAAGCAAGATTTAGAACGCTTGTTCAATTTTACGGGTTTAGATCAGGTTTCTGGAATGAATATGTATCAGTATCCTTTTTGAAAAAAGCTTGTCTTGTATTTTTGTATTTGTAAAATAATTTTTTTGTATATTCTTTGACTGAGATCTTTACCTAACAAAAGATTGGTTTATGATATGTGTACTTCATCTCCTAAGCCCCATACAAATAAATTATTTAACGCGATCGCCGACTTTTTGACTCAGTATACTATAAAAATCAGAAGGGTAGGCTAAATGGTCAGAGGTTATTTGATCCAATATCTCTATATAATAGATCATTAATAATCTGGTTTAAAAATTTTATTAAATACTTTTTTAAGTCAATTTTGGACCATGATGATGTAGTCAGCGCATATGCTAGAGAGTGGGAACATTACAGGGTTGCTTCCGACGTTTCTAGCAAGATATGTGATTATCTTAACAAACTTATATTGAGAAGTAAGGATCCTAAAGGTCGTAGTGGGGCGGACAGACACCATCCTGTTGAAGATGGCAAATATAGAAGGCAAACTATTCATGCGGTTGGTATTTTGTAAGAAATATTTGAAAGTCAATATTTTCATATTTATTATTTTATTAAAAAATTAAATTATTGAAATTCAGTAGTTCCTTGTTTTTTTTTTGTTTAAAATCATTTAAAGCTGGCGTACTTGATATGGAAAGAGCGAATCATTGACGATATAAGGTTGAAGCACTCTGATCGGCTTATGTATCAAATATTCGAACTGATCAGAAGAGATAGGGACGGAAAGGATACAGTACCTAATGTTGTTGCAGATGCAATTAATTCTCTCGGTATTTAATTTCATTATTTGTGATTAATTTTTTACATTATTTTATCTAATTTGTTTTTCTATAATTAGTCGAACTTAATACTTTAACCGATAGTAAGCAATTACATTTGTATAATGAAGTGTTTGAAAAGCCATATTTGGAAAAAACTCGACAATATTACGCAAGTGAATCTGCTGATGTGATATCAAATGATAACATTTCTCAATATATGAAAAAGGTATTGTTTATATTATAATTGAAATCTCATGGATTTTATGTTTTCAAAGCAATATTATTAATCTTTTTATGCAATAGGCCAATGAAAGATTAGAGCAAGAAGTGGCGCGCAACCTTAAGTACTGCCATCCTGATTCACATAGTATTGTATGTTGATTTGATTTATATATTTGGTAGTGATTCGTTTTATATATTTTACCTTAATTTGACTATATTGTCGAAACAAATAGATAATCAGAGAGTGCGAAACACAATACGTAGCTGTGCATCAATCACGTATACATGGCGAATTTGAAGCTATGATTTCCAATGAGAAATATGAAGGTATGATAAATATAATGTTTTATTATGCGTATTGTTTGAGTGTGACTTCTTTTATTCAATAAAATATATATTCAGATTGTACTATGGCTTACAATCTCTTATCACGTATAACTAATGGAGTCAATCCTTTGTTGGAGATATTTGAACGATATATTTCGAACATTGGAAAAGGATTGATTGAGAGAATGGGTAATTCGATAGCTAAGGTAATTTTCTTATGGGAAGTCAAAAAGTGCACCATTTCAAATATTTAAATTTTTATACGTTCTTTGCATAGGATCCTAGAGAATATGTGGAATCACTTATGGATCTTCATATAAAATATATGAACGTTTGTCAAAAAGTATTTATTAATGATGCAGCATTTGTCGCAGCCGTAGATAAGGCTTTTAGAACAATTGTTAATGACTCAAGTATTGCACATTCACCCGAAGTCCTTGCCCGTTACTGCGATGTTTTGTTAAAGAAAACGCATAAAGGTGGATTTAGTGAACAAGAAATTGAGGATAAATTAGATCGAATGGTAAACCATTTTGACATATTTATATTGATTATTCACTTACCAAGAATCATTTAAATGAATATTAAAATTAATTATTTTTATTTCAGATTGTTCTCTTCAAATATATTGATGACAAGGATGTGTATCAAAAATTCTATTCAAGAATGCTTGCCAAACGTTTGATTTATGGCAATTCTGCATCTGATGAAGCAGAAGTTAATATGATTACACGTTTAAAGGTAAATAGATACAATTACCTTTAACAACGATTAATGCTTTTTATGTGTCATGTTAACCATTTATGTTTATATGCAAGATTGCGTGTGGTGTGGAATACACTAGTAAATTGCAAAAGATGTTTACTGATATTACGATTAGTGCGGAAATAAACAGTAAATTTTCTGAATATACCAAAAAGAACAATATCAATGGAAAAAATGGTAAGTATTTACTTTATTATTAAATTTATAATTTTTAAATCATTATTAATATATGTATTATAGGTTCGCCTGTTGATTTTTCCATATTGGTTCTAACGGCTGGTGCATGGCCATTAACGCAGTCTTCAATGACAGAATTTCAATTACCGACAGAGGTAACTTGTTATAAATTTATTCAGTATTTAACTGATCTTTAAACTGAAGATTTATTATTATAATTATTATAACATAGTTAGAAAGAAATGTTTCACACTTTTCGACATTTTACAACGGTCATCATATTGGCAGAAGATTGACATGGTTATGGCATTTATCCAAAGGTATGCAGTCTAGTAGTATAAATAACAATATATGGTTTATTTACTTTTAATATAACAATTTGCTTTTTTTTCAGCTGATGTGAAGTTGAATTATCTTGATAAACGTTACGAGTTTTCAGTATCTCTTCACCAACTCGGTGTTCTACTATTGTTCAATAACGTAGATGCATATTCATTTAGAGACATACGTGAACATACGGGGTTGAATGATTTAGAGTTGAAGAGGGTCATGAAGGTGAGCGTTGACAGTAATTCTTTAAATAAATAAGAGCTTATTCTATTCGTTATTTAATCAAACTTGTTTCATAGCCCATGATTGACTTATCCGTATTTCTGGTTTCAACGCCCGGAACATTGCAAGATGATACAGAAGTTAAACTAAATATGGAATTCACAAAGTATTTATTATATTCATTCGTCTAAAAACAATTTTCATAACAATTAATTACTAATATAAACTATTAATATCATAGCAAACGTAATAAAATCAAAATCAGTTCTTCGTTACAAACTGAGACACACCAAGAAAATGATGCTACGCGAAGATCAGTTGATGAAGATCGTAAACTCTATTTGCAGGTAAAAATAAATACAAATTTTCATTAATATCAAGATATATATTATTATTATATTGTTATTTTAAATATTATTTAGGCGTCTATTGTTCGAGTGATGAAATCACGCAAATCCTTGACACACCCATTATTAGTACAAGAGGTTATTAATCAGGCGAAGTCACGATTTAATCCTAGTATGCCAATGATTAAAAAATGCATTGAACAATTACTAGAAAAACAATATATTCAACGGAGCAAGGATAACAGGGATGAATATGTATATATAGCTTAAAGTGGAGAAAAAATTGACTAATAGGAGGATTACTTGAAATAGAATTAGAAATTGCCAATGACTTATTTAACTTATGAATACATATATTCATATCTATTTAAACACTTTTTTTATATATTCGTAAAGTACGATATAATATTTAAGGTGTGTGAATCATGAGGATAGTAGAATTGCTTAAGTTATGTAGGACTATTTAAATTTTTAATGCATGTTTTTTATTAATTTATTTAATAATAGATCTATAAAATAAATTGATATGGATTAAGTTTTCATCATTAAAAGTGTTATCAAATTAATGTTTAATCAGTCTAAAAAAAATAGTATATTTTTATGATTCAAATCGATCCGCTGCTGCTTTAAAATAATAAAGCATACGAAAGTATTCGCTAGTATTCCGAGCAGGGACGGGAATAATATCGATTTTTATTCCACGGGTCTTATGTAACAACCTGTGCTTTTTCATCTTGGTTATTGCACAGGATTGTACGTCAGACACCGT